AAATCTTATAGGATTTTAGATGTATATAGTATAGAGTGTAAAATATCTCTTTAAGAAACATATCATACCTGGAATAGATATTAAATATAGAGATATTTTACACCCATGCCGTACAGATCTGGTTATGCTAATTTGTATGATTAGAAATGTTCTTCGCAGATGATGATTATACAAACTAATATGGATAAGAAGCTAAATGTAAGTAAAACAGCCTATATTAAATACTTAAATCAATTAAATAAATAAATAATTGCTAAACCTAAAGACTAATAGTGCTTTCAATGTGATTAGCTAGCTACCAAGATCATGCAGAATGCACTACAATTAATTGAAGCAATCTTTACTGTAATTTTGCAAAAGATTCATATCTCAAAATGCGGATAATAACTTTTAGCCAATTAGAACAAGTTTTTGACAAAAAAAGATGATTTCAAATTTTTTTTTCATCAAAATAATGAATCTACTTACTGGTAAACCACTTTCTACAAATTAGAAGTCAAGCTTTAGTATATTAATTACATGCTTGAGAGAATTTTAATCAATACAGACAAAAATTTAGCAAGAAATTAATTAATATATTGATTGATAATGTTTAATTGATCAAATAAAAAAAAATATTATGTGAAAGCCCATTATATGATGAAGAGTTTTGTAAACCAATTTCAGTCTATTAAAGATTTTTAAAGATATTAATGCTTGTATAGCTTTTTTAAATATTATATTACTTTACAATCATTATTACTGTAGCTACATAATAATATTTATGCAATGCTATTGCAGTACTGTATCGATATAGTATTTACCACAGTTTAAGTATAGCCCAAGTTATGCTTTAGCCATGATACAAGTCATGGCTTCAATAACTATAGCTTAATCTGAAGCTATGACTTTAACCTGTTAAAGCAATAAAAAATACAAGTTGAATGTTCATTATGTTAAACAAATCTCATAAATATAGTGCTATGTGATACAATATCATAAAGTTTAAGTGCTGAATTTTATGTTTCATTGCATTTAACGCACAATGATTTGATAGTTCTTTATGGGCCAAGTTGGACCAGGCCTAGTTTAAAATTAAAACCCGGCCTAGCCCATTTTGCTCTCTAGATAATAATAAGGTTTAATGATTAACTCTGACCTCAAATATATGGATTAAGCTATAATATATCTTATTGAAAGTTTGGATAAATATATGGGTGGACATGTATTGCTCTAGCAGGTTTGCCTTGAGAATAAACTAGCTTGAAAAACTGATAAAGGTGATCAATTCAAGATAAATAGTTTTAATAGCAAAACACCAAAATTTGCTATACTGAATTTGATATTATGGAGTCTAAAAATATGACAAAAGATCCCAATTTGAAATTTTACAAAATTATAAAGAATAGTAGAGAAATAGTTTTCACAAAGCCTCAAAATTTTATATTTGGAGCAGTGCCAAAAGTTTAGCTAGAGAAGGCAAAGCAATAATAGCATAATAAGGTAAACTTGGGTTTAGATTAAAAAAAGTTCGATTTTGTTCTTTTTCTTCCCTCCTATATGTAATTTTTGTTATAAATATAGGCTTGTTTTGCCTTTTAATAAAAAAGATAAGTGTTTGTTTAATAAAAGTTGCTCTTTGGTCCCATCATATATTTGATATATCTTAGTCTTGCCAAATTGTAATTATTTTTATAATCAAATATATTGTGATTAGTTGATTTGGTTGTGTATTCTAGGTAGTGATTGGCTAGTTCATGTTGTGACTCATTGCTACTAATATTTTTGGTGGTAACTATAAGATTCTACATCTCTAAGATTTAACTCCTTTAAGAATTTCTAATTAGAGATGCATTTATACAGTTTAGTTTATCCAGTCTCTAATTGGACCAATTAAATAGTAATTTATAGTCTGGTCTGGTCCAGGTGCCAGTTCCAAAATAGTCTTTCTATAAATATATCATTTCTAAATGTATGAGATTTTATTAGTCAAAAATGATATAATTACAAATTGTCAAATGTAAAAAAATATCATATAATCTGTATTATACCTGATCAAGAAATTTGATTGGGTGATATAAATATCATAGAGATGTTTACAAGGACTAGTTTAGAACTAGTTTAATGATTCTATCTATAGTTCCATCAGTTCTGGATTGGGCCAGTCTAGAACCAGTCTTTTGTAAACCCAATACAACCCTATTTTTAATACTTAAAGCTATGAATTAAGACAAAATAAAGAAGAAGAAAAAGAAAAAAAAAATAAGCTGATTGGCCTATAAGCTACTAATTGAAGCTTAGTACCAGATACTATACAAGAACGAAAAAGATATAAAGTTTTTTTTTCCAAAATACACTATCTATAAGTTGTAATGATAGAGCCTAGTTTAATAAAAAATAAGACCTGTGCAAAAATAATAAAAAAAATATTTCTTTTTATTAAAATAAAGAGTAAATTGGACAAATTCAAAAGGGTTGAATTTGTATTACTAAAGATCTTAACATTTGAAGTTGCTTCCAGTCAAGTTGTAGAAAGGCCTATCAAAATAGACAAAAGCAAAGAAAGGTGCTTAGCAGGACCCCAAAATATATATAGAAGGGTAAGGTTTTACAAAAATTACTAAATTTAGAAAGATCTGCAGAAAAAAAGTCAAAAATAAGCAAACTAATTACTATAAATGAAAATAATCTGTACAAAAAGGATCAAAAATAAGCAAACTAAAACCTTATCTCTACATATATATTTTGGGGTTCTTGCTTAGCATATATATGTCATAAAGATCTTGGTTTAGAAATCTTGGTTTAATAAGGACAAAAAGAAAAAAAAGTTAGAAAAATTATAACAAAAGCTAATTCACTATAAAAAGCTAAGTAGAAAGAGCTATTTTATTCTTACTGCTATGGAATGCCACTCTGGTTTTCAATCTTAGAAAAAGACAAATGAAGTTGGCTCCTAGCAAAATCCATTAAAAAAGGCCTGGTTAAAAAGTTAAAAAAAAGTATATAAAAAAATATATATATATTTTTGGGCTTAAATTTTTTTATGTAAAGTTTTCTAGAACCCAAAGCATGTAGCTACCAAGTGATTTTTTATAGAATATGAAAAATTAAGCAGAAGAGAATAGCAAAAGTATTAAAATTTGCTATACTAAATTTGATATCACAGAGTAATAAAAAACCTTGATTTGAAATTTTATAAAATTATAAAGAATGGTAGAGAAATAGTTCTTATGAAGCAAAACAATGATAGCATAATAAGGTGGGCTTGGGTTTAAATTAGAAAAAAGTTTAATTTTGTTCTTTTTCTTCCTCTTATATATAATGTTTATTATAAATATAGGTTTGTTTCACCTTCTAATAAAAAAGAAAAGTGTTTGCTCAATAAAAGTTGCTCTTTGGTCCTACTATATACTCAATATACCTTAGTCTTGCCAAATTGTAATCACTTCTATAATTTGGTATATTGTGGTTAGTACTTTGATTATGTGTTCTAAGTAGTAATTGGCTAGTCAGTGTTGTGTCTCATTGCTACTAACAATAAATATAGTACTTGTGTATATCATGTATTTGCTAGATTAGAAATCCTTATTGGCTTGAAATTAGATTATGATTAGAGGGTTTAAATGAATATCTCTATAGTTGAAATATAGATATAGCAGATAGTATAAAATCTTTAAGCAGACTACTTAAATTAGATATCAAAAATATATGTATGACTTAATGTACCTTTATTAATAATAAACTTTTCAGATCTAAAAAGTCATTTTTAAGATAAAAAAAAATATATTATATTTAAAAATAGAAATTATTTTTTAGCAAAATTAGTTTTTATAATATAAAAAAAATAGTATATTGGCTAATTTGAGTTTTTGGACTTTTTTTTAATAAACTGTTACATGAAAATTTGCTTCTAAGTGATGTTAAAAACTAACAAATAAAGCACTTGTTACAAATAATAAATAAGCTTTCTTGATATCTAAACAAATTAAAAACTAATAAAAAAGCTATGCTAAGCTGTAAAAGAAGTATTTTTACCATTTGTTGAAATACTTAAGTGTTTTAGAATAAGTTGGGCATTGTTTGATAAGTTGGTAACTATCAAGAATAATTTAAAAGCTAATTTTTAAAAAAATAGCCTCTTTTGGCTTATAATTGAATATAAATTTTGTAAATTTCTATATACTTATTTATAAATACAAAGCTGATTATAAAGGCTGTTTTTGTGAAAATTTGCTCTGTAATAAATTTTTGTGTAAAATTTTTTAATAATTCACAATTATAATTGATCTATTTTAGGGTCAAAACAAATTGGCCAATATGGTTTAAATTCTTTATAAGCTAAAAATAGATAAGTTTAGAAAAAAATTTAATTAAAAAAATTATTTACAAAATTTTAACAAACTCTTTAAATATTACTTTTAAATATATAGTTCTTAAAACAATATTATATAGTTAATTTTCTCTAAATGTATAGCATTGGAATTATAATAAAATTTTTTAAAAACATGCATTTAAAGAGGTTATGCATTTAGAGAGATGAAAATCTATAAGTATTATATTAAGTTGAGCCAGAAAAAAGACATATATTTAAAGAAATTCTACATAGATATACATTTAGGAAAAATGCATTTAGGAGGACTGACTGTAGTTAATACAAAAAATTACAACTTTCATTATTATACTTTTAGTAATTTATTAATAAAAATCAAAACTTTATTTAAAAGCAAATATCTTTTTATAAGTAAAAAATATATAAAATTTAAAAAAATCTAAAAAAAAATTTTTTATAGTAAAAGTTTTAATACAAGAACTTTAAACTTTTATTATATTAAAAATTTTTAATAAAGTTATAAAACTAATCTAAAATTAAATATTTTACTTAAAAAAAATATTGCTAAAATTAATATTTAAAATTCTATTAAAAAAATTAAAATTTTTAATAAAAATACAGCCAAATTTGTTTGTATTACAAATTAAAAGATTGCAGTATTGTATATTATATATATATTGTATATATTAAATCACCAAAACTAGACCAGTTTTAAACAAAGATTGTAAATTGGTCTCTAACTAGTTCAAACTTAATATTTTAAAAACTAGATTAGAACCAAACCAGACCAAACAGACCTTTTAATATTTCTAACTTTATTACTTTTAATCCTAATACAAATTTTAATATAGCAAGCCAAATTTTTTAATTATGCTATATATCCCAAATATAACTTTGCTTAAAAAAATATTTTTTAAAAAATTGTATAGTATTATTATATTGATTTATAAAATCAATTATAAAAGTTATGAAGCTATTACTCTTTCTGTTAATCCTTTTTACCAAAACTCCAAGAAAAAACCAACTTATGAAAAGTATACAAATATTATGAGAACATATAAGCAGGAAGTTTAAAGAACTATAAGATAGCATTTGTTGTTTAGAGATAGTTCTCATATGCTATCTGCCAACAAACCCAGAGTTTATCACTTACTGCAAGAGTAACACCTGCTATTTAGAAGTAGTTCACTTGCTGACAGGTTTAGAGTTTATCACTTACTAAAAAACTCTAGAAACTTCTTAGCTTAACTCTTGATAATTACTGTTAAGCTTTGTAAAAAACTCTTTTTTCTTTTACTTTGAAACTATTACTCTCTCACAGCTCTTTTTGGTTTTTCAAAATTTTTTCAAAAAGTAAGAATTCTGGCTTACCTCCTTTAAAAAATCAGCATTGTTTGCTACTTCCAAATTAGATAATAACCACTTGTGATATGCTAAAATGGGATACAAGAAAACATGTGGTACTAAGCATAGACCTGACTATATTTTAAACAGGAACTTGTATATACCAATTGGTGCAATATTATACACCAGAGTACAAGAAAAGATCTGGGTCCTGAACCTTAATAGATGAACAAAATTATTATCAGAATAAATTAAATATGAGATATATAACATTCCAAAGGCATATATATATAATATTTTTAGCCCTGGCTTGGGTTAAAAAGCATAGTTTAGCTTTGTTTTTGTTATTTTTTTTATTTTTTTTATTTTTATTTTTTATTTTTTTATTTATTTGTTTAGTTTTTATTTTGTTTTTGATTTATTATTTAAAAATATAGCAATCTCTTTTTTTTCTTTCTGTAATTTTGTTCCTTATTTCTCTTTCTTTTAAGAGATTGTTTTTGTTGTTATTTTTTGTTTTTGCACTCTCTGGGTAGAAGAAAACTATTAGTTTCTGCTAATAGAAAGCTAGGTAGGAAAGATTTTAAAAATAGAGTAGCTGAATGCCTGCTATAGTAGGTTTTTAAATAAAGATAGCACTTCATATAAAACTTATTAGCAAATATCAATGCAATAACCATGCTTAGACACTTTCAAAGCAGTTGGGCAAGTCCTAAAATGACTATTAATCACCATTCATATATACAGATATTGCAATAAAAATTAATAAACTTTAGTACAAAGTTATCAAAATGAAATATATATATATATATATAAAAGTTACATGTTTATTAACCAAATCTTCAATTACTTATAATGTAATAAAAAATAACAATTATAATTTTAAATTTTCTGTTACCAAAACCAATTCTTAATACTCAATTAAAATATTTAACAATTATAAAAATTAATTTCAAAATAATCCAGCATTAAAACTATTATAATAACTTTTAATAAAAATTTATATATAATATAATTAAAAACCTCTTCACACAATTACAATTTTGAATTATCAAAGCCAATTCATGACAAACACTTATTATTTAACCAGGGCATATATGGGACCCCCACAGCAAAAGGGGGGGATGGGCCAAAAAAATTTTTTTTAAAAAAATTCAATATCTCGAAGAATCAAATTGATTAGAATAAAATTATCATAAGAACAAATTTTCAAATTTTTTGGCCCATCCCCCCTTTTGCTGTGGGGGGTCCCATATAGCAAAATAAAAAAAAAAGAAGCATACTAACAGAATAATCAAAAATGATCAGTTAATTCAAATTTTTAAATCGTAACTTCATTTGACTTTATTGTGCCAATTGTTTGCTACAAAAATTGCTAGAAAAAAATTATTTGTACACGAAATACTCCAAATTTTTAAACGCTTTTTTTTGATAGTAATTTACTAGTAAAGATGTATCAATTTTATGCATAAAATTTAACTATAGTAACATTGTTATTGATCCTTACATAGATTAATTAATTAATATATAAATGAAATACCTCATTGTATAGTTCGGGAAGCCGCGCATATCTATGTAATGTAAGCTATAATTGTGTCAAACAAATTTCCCTATACCTCATCTAAGTACTTTGATATATCAAAATCTATATCTCGGGAAATTTGTTTGACGCAATTGTAATTTACATTACATCGATATGCACGGCTTCCCAGGCGATCGTACGGAACTGTACAAACAATAAGATGGTGTGCAACAAACGATTCAATCTAAATAGAGTAAGACGTTTTGTATATTAATATTGCTGTCTATATCAAAAACCATAACGTGTTACAAACCTGTTGGTGCATATCAATAGTTTGAATGTTTCTGTGATTATAATATATACTTTGAAAAATAGCCAAAACGCGTTCTAGTTCAAATGATTGGGGTCCTTTTAATTGTTGTGGAAGCTATAATTAAAAAAAAAAAATTAGGTGATGACAAAAAGCAAAAGAAAATAGTGGCACATTAGTAAATACCTTTCCAGGGCTATCATGTGATAGCTTTTGCTTTTTTGGTGTTCTTGACAACCTCGGCTTCTCAAATGCTTTTGTTGCGAAGTAACGCTGATCAAGGTTTTGTGGAATGTACGAGCCTAAGAATGTTGCAATTAACAAATATAGCGACCATTGGGGTAGTTGATCCTCAAAATTAGCTGTTTATAATTAACAGTTATATAATTAATAATTATGTTTACACATTATATAAAGATTTGATATTCTGAGCTCACCAGCTGATATATTCTGCAAATATAATTTATCCAATACATCATTGAAATGTGACTTTAATTCATTACACAATAGAGAGATATCATTTTTTGTTGCTGCATAAAATATAAATTGAATGATCGTTATGAACTAGGATATGGTAATATACAAAAAAATTTTTTTCAAACCTCTTCCTTCTTGTATGGGTTCAATGAATTTATCAAAAAGGTCTGGTAACAGCCGAAAAAAATCAATCAAATCACAATTTTCGTAAAATGAATCACATATATTTTCGACAAATGCTTTATAGAAACATGGATCTTCGTCATCTGGACAATTTTTCATCAATATCTGAATTAATTCATGTATTTATGATTGTCGCTTTGCTAAGGATAATATTCTGTTATATATATTATATATATATATATTATTGAATACAAAATAAATAAAACAAATTATAAAATCTGGATATCTCTTGTATATTCTGGAAAAAATATTTGCCATGGCTCAGATATCCCAACGACCATCCTGAATTTTTCCCATGGAGCTTGTGATATAAATATTCCACAAACGTTTAAACCAATCTTGATACGAAATGTAGAATGGTTGTATTAGGACAATAAAAAATTAGAAAGTTTCTTATAAGTAATAAAAAATCAACTTGCCCATTGGGGAAGTGTCATCAAGGCAGGTGTTAATGTCGAAGATAAGTCCCACAATACATCCGCGTTGTCGAAAATCTGAAACGGTTAAATATAACTGAATTTGGAACGCGATTTTTTAAAATAAAGAGTATACCTACCATATATCTAGTTTCAGAATCTATTTCGCATATTTCTTGCAATTCCATAGCAAAATCATTGATATTTTTGCAAGAAAGTTGTTCTCCAGTTAAATTATTCAGCGTAATTCCAAATAAATCTTCGATGGAATAACAAACTCTGCAATCAAGAAAGGAATACTGTCGAGAAGTGAAGCCAAGTTTAAAAAGTCTTTTAATTAGTTCTGTCTTTCCGAGCGCTCTATTTCCGTGAATGAAGATCACAGGTGGTGTCTTTTCTTTTGGCTAGTTGGAATAAAAACACACTTTTAACCGTTTTTCAAGTTTTTTAAGACACCAAACTTGCAAAACGACAAAATCACATTACCGTGCCAAACCAATTCAATAATGTTTCAATTTGACGCGTTCTTCCAGGGAATTCTTCAAATAATACGTTTTTTAATTGCTGCGGTTCTAGGACCATGGTCGAATAAGTGCGAATAAAAAAAAGATAAGAAGAAAGATCAAAAGACTAATGAACAGGAGAGTGACCTTGAAAAAAATGGTCAGTAAGTCGCGCTCCTATATTTATAAGATATCAGATATTGGTCATGCAGCCAATCATTTGTTCGCATTATCCAATATCGTGCTTTACATGGCTAACTGAGTTGTAGAGATTTCAAGCCATCACGTGGGATAACAGGATAACTAAAAAAATCGGATATTACCTGGTATAAGGAAGAAAATTCCGGGTTGGCATTACAGAAATGTGTGAACAACGATTTCATATACCTATGTGTATACTTGTTGGCAAAACCTATGGGATTTGGGATTGGGCTATGGACAAACCCGGACAAATGGGTTTGTCCACCTATA